ATGGGTTAAGAAATCAAACAAGGACGTCTTTGATGCCCAACTAGGTGTTGAAGCTTCAGAATTAATGGGTCTGTATATTTTAAATAAAGATTAACGAAAATAGTCCACATAGACAACCACGGACTCTATAGAGGCGACGGGCTGATGATAGTTCCAGACAACAGAAGATTAAATGACAAAATAAGAAAGCTGTTTTTTAAACTCTTCAAGAGCCTCTAGTTTGAAATTGAGGTCGATATGAACAAGTCGTCCAATATTTGCTTGTGGAACGAAACCTACAAATTGGTAGCGTCTCACCTTACATGAAACCCAACACAAAATTGAGGTATGGGAATGTTGGATCCCACCATTCTGCGAGTATGATCAAGCACATTCCTAAAGGAATAGAGTATAGGCTGTCTAGAAATTCCTCTTGTAAAATCATTTTTGAAGAAAAGAAGAAAGGGTACGAAAGGGCGTTAAAAGATGAGGGACAGAAAACTAAGCTGGAATTCAAGTCTCAAATGAACCAACAAATGAGGAATGAAAGGTGGATAAGAAACATTATTTGGTTTAATCAACATATTAATTTAGAGGTGAATTCTTACACAGGGCCGTCCTGTTTATGACGATTAACTACATCCGCGTCCAGGGTCAGACGATAAATTACGTCCAACAGCAAGGCCTCTGATCAGGAGGTTTTGAGGAGCGTGAAAGCACCTCTTAATTGCTGGTGTTCCCAGGTCCACCCTGATCCGGGGTGGTAGCACCTGTTAGGGTTCCAGCTATGGGCAAATAGTTAACCCCGAAACTGAGGTAAAAGGCATTTTGAAAGTGTAAAAATAGGTTTTAATACCAGAAATACTTTGTAAAAAAATTATTACCAGAAATAAATTTTTGAAGGAAAAAAACTATTACCACCATTATATTTTTGAAAAAAACTATTACCAGTAATGCGTTTTTGAAAAAAAACTATTAGCAGCAATACGTTTTTGAAAAAAAAAAACTATTACCCGCAATACGTTTTTTTTTAAAAAAAAAAAAAAAAAAAAAAACTATTAGCAGCAATACGTTTTTGAAAATAATATTACCAGCTATACATTTTTGAAGAAAAATAGATTCGGAGAAAAAAACCAGAAATAGATTTTTGACAAAACAAAACTATTACCAGGAAAAAAAAAATTGTTGGCATTAAATGACCCATTGAGGTTGGTATGCCGTAAAACAAACCAAACCAAAGCAAACCTTACACAGGGAAGATATTTTTCAAGTTGCTTCATAAGCACTTTCGTAAGAGTTCCGCGTTACACAAGATTTCTAATAGAAATACAGTAAAAATAAATTACATCAATTTAGGGACTTCAATAAAAAGACAAAACGCCAAGAATTTCAAGGATAGAGTCCAAGAAAGTATTGTTGATTGCGAAAAGTGTAACTGTAAAAATAACTGTCCATTGGATGGTGTTTGTAAAACGGAAGAAGTGGTTTACAAGCATAACTAAGAAATGAAAATGGCCACAGCAAGATATATGTGGGGTGCACTGAAGGTATCTTCAAAAAGAGATGATACAATCACAGTAATCGTTCAGGATAGAAAGCCATAGGAATTGTACCAGACTAGTTAAACATGTGTGGGAATTAAAAGAAAAATATAACTACAAAAACTCTCATGTAAACTGGAGCATACTGAGGAGATTCGAGTCTTAAAGTAATGGTAGTGATATCTGTAGGCTGTACCACGAAGAAAAACTAGCAATAGTTTCGATTCCAGACCAAAGAAAGCTGTTATTACAAATCCCTAGCCTAGAGTGAAATGATTTTTAATAGACATGCTTCCAAGTTAAATACCTACTTGGAATATTTGCCAGAACACCATTGGAGATAAAATTTCGTATAATGTGCTCAAGTCCTAAGGAATCGTAACCACAGGAGATACATCTTTTTCGGGGGTAGTTCTAGGGTTAATCATGTCCTCAAAGGGGAGGAATAGTGACGAGGCTTGAACAATCTTTGTCCCTAGCACCATAGATGATTCCAAGATAAGTTCTACCATAATTTATTATTGGTGGATACAACCGTAACACAAGATATGCAAACAGCTCTGTATTGATAGCAGACACCGAAAGGAAACTGTAGAATAACCTTCAAAAGGCTATAAAGGAAAGCCAGAAGAAAGGAATAAGTACCGTTTGTAAGAAGAGAGAGAGAGGGGGAGGGAGAGAGAGAGGGGGAGAGAGAGAGAGAGTCTATGGCTATCAGAAAGAGGAATGTTCCAGAGTGCGAAATGCGAATTCAAGATACAAAAATCAGGCAAGTGCAGAAGTTCAAATATCTGGGAAGTGTTTTAACAGAAGACGGAAAGTGTGACATTGAAATCCGAACGCGCATTGGAATAGCGAAAAATGCCTTCCAAAACCTAAGCAACGTATTAAGAAACAGGAAAATTTGAAGCAACAGAAATGTAGTTCTACTGAAGGATTCTGAGAATACGATGAACTGAACATGTGAACAACGACAAAATTTTAGAGAGGATGGTAACCAAAAAGGAAGCTCATACTTAGAATCAGTAAGAGACAGTTGAAATTCTTAGGGAACATAACGATGAAAGAGGATTTGGACAATTTTATACTCACAGGATATAATAAAAACAAACGGTGAACAGCCTACCTAACGAGCTTGCGTAAATATATGGCAGAACAAGGATTGAAATGTTAAATATAATGTCGTTGAAATGAAATTCATAAATGAATTTTTTAATGGTTGGGTAAAGGGTGTTAAATAATAGTTTCAGACTATTATTTTTTAGTGGCAGTGTATTTTGGCTCAGACCTTCTGAGGCTGACCTTTGAAGTCAGATGGTAGACAAAATAGGGAAGTCGATTTTGACTGTCTGAGCCGAACTTGGGAATGAGTTATAGATTAAGGTTTTTCGGCAGTTGCTGTTTGAACCTCAAGTTAACTAGATGTGTCATGTTGGGTTTGTGGAAACACCCTTCCCCCAGTGGGGTCTTTCGAGAGTTGGTTGTTACACGTCAAAGAAAATGGGCGTGGTGAGATTTTCGCGTTTGGAAGATGTACCTATCGACGTGGTTAATAAAATAATTGTTAAGTTAAAAGTTCTCTTTGCTGATGTCTTTTCATCCCCGGGTTCCAAAAACATTTCGCTAATCGGCCGGAAGATGACAAAGAGTAGAATCCAACATATGAGTGAATCAAGAGCGTCAACCCAAGGCCATCCTCCACCAAAGGGGTATGCAAGAGAAAGGGATAGTGAGAAGAAAGGCCTTACTACGAGCTACAAAGAAATACTGGACAATTTCCGCACATATGAAAAGGAAGTTGAAGCAACGGAGATTGTGGTTCTACAGGAGGATTTTGAGAACACAATAAGCAGACAGTGTGAGTTTTAAGAAGAATAGACGCGAAAAAGACACTTATACTTAGAATCATAAAGTAACAGTTGAAACATCTGTTACACATAATAAGAAAAGAAGGCTTGGAAAATTTAACACTCATAAGACATATTGAGGTCTAAAGTACAGAGAGAAATATCGAGTAACCTATATAACAACCTTGTATAAATGAATGGTAGAACGGATATTGAGAGGGATATTAAAGAGACAAATATTGCTTAGAATTACAAAAGATAGGAAGTTGTGGAGAGCAATAATCACCCACGTTCTGGAGAGGTATGAAACATAATGAAAGACGTAGTATTTGAAAAAAAATGGCTGCATAAGGCATCATTCGAAACTTTGTGGTAACAATAAAAGCAACACAAAGAACGCGTGAAATCTTCAGAAAAGTTCTTGGAAATTGTAGTATAGACAAACCTCTCATCTACGGACCCCCCCATCAACGGACTTCGGATGCAACGGACAAAATCTGCAGGCAAAATAAAAAAAAAAGTGCAAGAAAAAAAAAACCCCTTCCAAATCGTTAGCGATGTATTTCAAAATTTGCGGCTTTAGCGGAAGGAGGCGTATTAGTTCTCAGAGTGACCGCTTGGCGGCGGTGGCTGGCTTTTCAGTTGTAAACAAAAATGAATGTACAGTATTTCAGGTACTAGAGCTTGCGTGAGAAAGTAGCTGTGAGAAAACTATTATTTTTGTTGTTTTGATTAATATATCTATATTTCTGTTTGAACGTCCATTTTCGTAATAGGCTTCGATAACACGTTGATTGATTGTTAATCTTTCCACGGTTGGAATTGAAGGTTGTTAAATCTGAAAGAAAAAAAAAATCATTAAACTCTTAAACAATTCATCTTTAAAATAGGTCCAAGTTATTGGAACACCCTATATAATCATTATTTTGAATGTTATAAAGCACTAATTACAACAAAAAGATAAATATAGAATTTGGTATTTGTTTGAAAATGAAACCGTTTGAAGATTCTATTGATTTTTTTCGTTTGTGCCGGTTGGTCTTTTTATGGATTATCAACCTTTTACAGGTTATTTAAAGTCAGAAATATTTTAGCTTGTAAGAATATGGGGGAATAATAATGATTTTACAGACACAGATCATACTAATTAACCCATATCTGGGGGGAGATAATGTTGCAGTTTTTTGTGTATATATATATGTACTAGTGAGTTAGCCCAAATGACTCGACTCACTTTATAGTCCACCAATGGAAGGTTAACCAATCAGAAGACGTAGAATATTCAATCCGTCGTGTATAAAGGCGGCCATTTTGTTTACTCTACCCGAATGTCCAGTCCAGCTTGTCAGGCGAAGAGAACCAGAAGGACGAACTACGCTCTGCTACTTTTACCAAAATATCCACTGCTAACCTGAACAACGCTTTCCTACTGTCTCCGAAATATTCACTGCTAACCTCTGGATTCTATACTCGAAGACGACCGTTATCATGAACAACAGATAATAGGTGACGTCATACCTTTCTCAAAAGTATTAGCGCGTAAATGAATATAGCGAACCAGACAGGAATTAGAACTCGGCTCTCCAAGTTCCAATTCCGAACCGTTATCCATTACACCACAGGCACATCCATGCTTACAACACCTGGTATTCCCAAGTGGTCACCCCTCTAGGTACTGATCGGGCTTGACGTTGCTTAACTTAGTAATCTTACGAGAATCAGTGTTTCAATGTGATATGGCCGTTGGTTAGGTTAGGTTGATTAATTTAACCACATTCTTTGTTTGATGTCGAAAAAGTCACAATGAATGAAAAGACGGGTAGACATCAGTTCGGTTTACACTAGATTCAATAAGTAGGTACAGGTCTTGTTTACACTAGGGCCATTTTGTGATGTCAACGAACACTCGTTGCCACTTTTCTAATGTTCGTTGGAGTAGAGACTTTGTAATCGCAGATACAACTATAGTAACGCCGTTGAACAATGCTGGTGTCAGACGCCTTCAAATAACACTCGCACTAGTCAGTTATGTGTATCACGCATGACACATACCTTTCGATACATGACTGACCAGGCAGATTTTTCCCGCAGCTATTTTTTTCTGCGGTAGACCAGTTGCCATCCAAGGCTATAGAACGCGATCTGTCCTGCTATTTATCCATAGCTGGGGGAGAAGAAGAAGTTTCATACCTTTCCCAAGCACGTAAGTGAATGTAATGGATTCGACTGGAATTCGAACTTGGCTCTACGATTCCGCAATCCGAGCCGCTATCCATAACTCCACCATCTTGCTCGATAATACTCGCTCGAAAAGTAACCACCGAATAGTAATCCGTATAGTGATCAGTATAGAGAATAGTATAGTGAAAAGTATAAAGAATAGCAGATACAACTATAGTAACGCCGTTGAACAATACTAGTGTCAGATGCTTTGAATATCACTCGCACTAATAGTACTTGCTCGATAATACTCGCTCTAATAGTGACTACCGAATAGTGATCCGAAGAGATGAATAGTATAGTGAATAGAGTAGAGAATAGTGGTCCGTATAGTATAGAGGATAGACTAGAAATACACATCTGAATAGTAATAGAAGATAGACTAGAAATAGAGATCGTAAGTCGTCAGCTACTTCCTACATATATGCGTTTCCTCTATGGTCACGTGATCCACTAAATCCAATAATGAGATTTTTTTTTTTTTACTCTCTGGCGATTTATGTTCAAACTCAAGTGCCGGCAGTGACACTTTATTCCTATATAACAGGCCAAAAGCTAGATATAGATCCAGTTGGCACGAGAAAAAAAATGGCAGACATTAGATCCGGTTTGCTCTAGAGTCAAAAAGTTTGTTGTTTTTGTATCAACATCTCTATGAGATATTTAATACCGAAATCGAAGTATTTTGTACGCATTTTTTTTTTAGATTATAATGGTTTAGTGATAGAAGACTTACTAATTAACCCATAGCTGGAGAGAGAAGAAGTGGATTCATACCTTTTACCAAGGTTATTTGCGCGTCAGTGAATATATCGAATCCAACTGGAATTTGAACTCGGCTCTCCGATTAACAATTCCGAGCCATTATCCATTACGTCACCCACAAATCTAAAAATCTGGTAGTACCAAGCCGAGTCCCAATTCCAGTGAGGTTCTTTATATTCATTTACGCGCAAATATAATTGGAAAAGGGTTGAATTCACTTGTTATCTCCCTAACTAGGGATTAATTAGTAAGACTTTTATCTGTAAATCATTATTATTTTCAAAAATGATTACAATCCAAAATATTTTCTTGATTTAAAAGGTTGATAAACCGTAAAAACCAATCAATCTTTTTATCCAATGAGATTTTTCTATTTCTTAATACTTTGTTTACTTTCTCAAATATGAGCAAGTAGCCGAGTTGTTAGAACGTTTCCAATCTCACCATATTCGCTTTGTCAGGAAAATGATTTTTTGATGTTAGCAGTCTGGTAGAGGCAATCATAGTGTGCGTCACCTTTGGAAAGTGCCTGAAAACCCTACCTTGCCCTGTGATTGAAATTGGGTAGACGGACATATTTGGGATCCCTCGACAATTGTCCTAGCACGAAGTCACAAGTCATCGTGACCAAGGATTTCAGCGTGCTGGCCTTGATCATATCACGCCAGATCTTGTGCTCTCTCCCAGAAACTGTAACGAAGATCCGCTCAGCATAGTATAAAGTACAGGGGGCTCCGTGGGTGTTGGACAAACACAAATGTGCCTGAGCAGGCGTCTGCAACAGGGATTAACTAGCCACCGCAGTAGACAGGCCAACCATCATTATTTCTGAAACACATATTTCACTATTTCTATACATTTTCGGATTTCTGTATCATGTTTTCCGGCATCTTTCTAGATAATTGTATCTGTCTCATTCTGATATCTCCAGTTCAGAGTTCATTTGAACAGAGCATCTAGTCTGCTATATCTCTGAGATGAGGTATTATCATATGGAATGAAGATGACTATAACAATCCAAATAATGTAAATAATATATTTAGATTATTCAGACTGTTATCCTCATCTCCATTGCTATATTCGTAACGTTTCGGCCGTTGTACGCCCCGACCTTCTTTAGATGATTGGCACATGGCCCAGTGGATAAATACATTGGTTAGATCCAGTGACTAGACTCAAAGAGTTGTGAGGCCACAGCAGTGGTGAACCGATAAACTTGCAGAGTTGAGTTAAAAGAGAAATAACTGAGACATCTAGAAGAGGCATGACACGTGGAACTAAAACAATCTACTCCGATGGACGAAATAAGGAGAATATGGCAATGAAGACGTGGATAAATGTCCGAATAATGTAAATAATACATTTACTTTATTCAGACTGTTATCCTCATCTTCATTGCCATATCACAACGTTTCGGCCGTTGTACGCTCCGGCCTTCTTCGGGTGATTGATGCATGGTCCAGTGGATAAAGACATTGATTAGAGTCATTGACTAGACCCAAAGAGTTGTGAGGCCACAGCAGCCTTCAACCCCCAAACTTGGAGAGTTGAGTTAAAGGAAAATAAGTAAAACATCTGGAAGAGGCATGATACGTGGAACTAGAACAACAACAACAGCAACAACAACAACAACAACAACAACAACAATAATAATAATAATAATAATAATAATGTAAATAATACAAGAGCATCTAGTGCCTATATATAGAAAGAATATCGAGAAAAAAAAACAATAAAAAATATATTGTGTTTTTATTTTTTGATTTCATCCACATATCATTCTTCGTCCGTTTTTCTCTTTAAAGAACTTTCAATTCCCTTTGATTCCGCATCTCAATTTTTGTCCATTTCATTACGATTCGCGCCTGATTTTTTTTATTTCCCATCGGTTCACGTCTGATTCTTCCATTTCCCTTCGGTTCACGTCTGATTCTTTCATTTCCTTCCTTTCCGAATCTATTCTCTTCATTCAAATCAATAATTAGCTTTTGAAATTATATTGATAATTCTTAAATTTAAACCCGCAATTAATTAATGAATATCATTATTTATTTGAACATACGAATCATTTTTTATTCATTTTAATTAATTTCGAGCTAGTTCCGTGTAGGCTTCGTAAATAGCATTCTTCAATATCTTTTATTGTATTGTAGAAAAAAAAACATCACCCTGCGATGGTAATAAATCTGGCGTTTAAAATTTTCTCCTTGAGGTAGATGCCTCTGGGAAATAGATTTATTTCTTGTCCCCCGCCAGCTATGGATTAAACATTAGCGGCTGGCAACCCTTATAGAAGGACAACTGTGAATTCAAACAGTATGTAGCTTGGGTGTAGTACATGATTTGTAAGTAAGGTCGTCTTAGCTTAGTGTAAGTAACAGAATGCCTGTGTTGAAGAAATATAAATGAATTTGAGCGGACGGGCTTGTTCGAAAACGAGTAGCCATCTTGAAGTTGAGAAATAATGCTGCTGTGAGAGCTCTGATGATGATGGAAATAAAAACACCCCATGGTACGTAACGTTTGTTTGTATATCACGATAGGGAAACAGCAAATCATATGTCAGGGTTATACGATCAGATAGAAATGCAGAGAGGAAAGAATCTTACAATAATTTAAATACAAAAATCGGGAAGCTGAGATGGGGTAAAACGAGTTCAATAAATCTTACTCTATTGATCGATTAATTTATTTTTACGGCTTACCAACCCTTTGCAGGTTATTTAAAGCTAGAAAATATTTTTAGATTCTAAGAATCTCTTTTTTTTTTCTTGGAGATAATAATGATTTAGTGACACATGTCTTACTAATTAACCCATAGCTGGTGGAGAAAAGGTGAATTAAAACCTTTCTTATGGTATTTGCACGTAAGTGAATATAACGAACCTAACGGGAATTGGAACTCGGCACTCCGATTAACAATTCAGAGCCATTACTCATTACACCACCCGCACATCCAAGCTTAACGCGTCTGGAATTTCTCAAACTTACTCTACTCAAGACTTGAGGCTCGTTAAGACGAAGAAACATGATAGGAAGGCTACGGACATAAAGTTTTAGGAAAGTAACGCTGAAACGAATATATCAGTATCAATACTAGTTTAGTATGTGTCTCAGGCCCAATTTACGCCAGAATATACTTTGCACCCAGTGTCCTTCAGAGAAGATAGGTGCAGGATTGACCTGAGAGATATCCTCCTTGCCACCCGGTGCAGATCCATGTGAACGGCCCAGATGCACTTGGGATGCACGTGTGGGAAATAAATGTATTTCAGATATAGATATATAAACACCTACCTGTAAGGGAGAGCCTTTACATAAACAAGAGATGTAGAATCCACGTTCGGGGAAGGCTCTAGGTTCACACGTCTCACTGGCGAAACTGATAAAGTCCAGAATTGAATAAAATTTAATGTTACGAGAGATTTTATCTCATGTTTTCATTAACTTGATTATCACTCGGCGTGTCAATTAAATTTAATGAAGGTGTATCATCGGGGAAAAAAGGGGGAAAAAAAGACTTTAAGTGTGGTGCACGAATTGGATGCAGTTGCTCATTATGTCGTTAGGAGTCCCGGATCAACATTACCTTGAGCTAGCCTGTATGTATATTATCTACACTATATACCCTATAGAAATATTTTCCAAACAACAGAAAATACTCCCTAAACCCAACCAGCCATAATTAATACTCTAACATGATGTGAAAAAATCACTTTACCATTTAAGCACTAATATATATTTTTTATATGTTTTTTA